ACGAATACTTTATTTTTTTATTAATTAATTAATTGTTAACAATAGCAAAAGAGTTGTCTGGGTGGAGGGTATGGTGTGGGTGGAGCCGTAAAGGGTACGGTGTGGAGAGACACCACGCGGTTACATACCTACAAGTCTCGTTAGGTGCGGTGACATCAGGTCAGGTGGCAGTGGCCATGACAGTTAACTTTCCCTTTGATCTTCTGGTGTCCATTAGTAACTTGACCACCCACCTCACCTAGCCTACTGCCTTATCCCTCCCTCCCCCATCAAGTCCCCTCTCTTCTCCCCCCACCTTTCCTTCAGGGGCTTGGGCTTCCCGTTAGACGTCAGTTGTTCTTTAATTATACCGTATCTGTACCTAAGATGAATTTCAAAGAGGCTGAGATTCTAAAATGCTTTACATAATTCCGCCTTAGATATAAAGCCTGTATATATTCGTATGTGTGAGACTTAGTTTATTTAAAATTATGCTTAAATAACTAAGTACCACTGCCCTCCCCCAGCACCCGCCAGATGTTACGTGGTGCGAAAAATTCAGCCACTCATTAATTTTAATCGAAAAGTGACGTCACCACAGCCACACCCCAAATAGAGGGACAGTTCATGGCGAGTCTTAATCAGACTCGGTCACTATGGAGGCAACAATCATCTACAAATTCCTCAACTGAAGGAGCTTGACAGCTACTTGGCATGCCCAGGGATTGGGATGGAGCTACTGAGGTCTTTCCCAACATTATGTGACTTATCTCTCAAGCTTAATACCCCACTACCTGCATCTGCTGCTTATGAGCTCTGTTTATTATTAAAATAATTTATTACACCCCGGGGGGTGACAAACCTAGTCACAAGACCATGCAGTCAGACACTAATACATTTGGTACTCGTGTCTCGCAGGACACTCTATAACCTGTGATACGGAGACAATATTGATATGATTTAAGGACAATGGGAGTTAGCACCCACCAAAGCGTGGGTAGCGTACAAGAATTAAATCTAAATTATTACGAATAAGTAGGTGGTGAAATATAGTGTTTAGTGACTCATCCTGTGGTAGGAGGTCCGTGACAGTGGGACAGTCGAGGCAATGATGTTGAAGGGTGTTAGCGTTGGGACAGTTAGAGTTTACAGGAAGATAAATGCGGTTCATCCCCCACTTCAGATACATGCCAGATAGGTGTGTATCCTAACCTAATGCGAGCAGAGACAACATTATGTCTGCAGACCATAAGTCCACGTCAACGATACTTGTGTGGATAAGGAAGAAAGTGAGCAATCCTGCACTGAGTCCTCCATTAAAGAAAAGGCAAGGAAGGCAGTGTCAGGGTGGGGAGGAGGCTTCCATAAAGCTTTAAACCTATTCCAAACATAGGAGGGTGACAAATGAAATGAGAGAGACTCCAAGAAGTGGAGCCAGCCTGCCTCAAGAATCCGATGGTGTTCTTGATTCACAAAAGTGCACTAGTTTTTTAAGTCTTCCCAGTCTTCTAGAGAGTGAGACTTCCGTATAGCAGAGTGGAGATAACAGGTCATCTGCCAGAGATGTCTCATTGCAAGGAGATGATATCAGTAGTCGGCATTACTTCTGGGCTGACGTGTAGTCATGCACAGTATCAATAAAGTTGGCACTTTACATTAAGAGTCAAGAAACTGAGGGGCACCAAAGGAATCTACCCAGGTAGAAAGGTGTTGGATAAAAGATGGACCATCATCCTATGTAAGACAGAGGCGAGGGGATCGATAAGGAGGTGATGTAGAAGCCACTAAGGAGAGCCTGAAGTGAGTAGTAAAGGCAAAATGGTCACAATATATAACAGGCTCAGTGCAAACGGTAGGAAATGGCGGTATGGCCGTTCAGTAGTAGTGCAACATCAAGGAAACTATGGGGGAGGCAAGTATAATCATTAGCACAAATAAAGCAAGAAACTGTGAGAGATGCGATCTGTTAAGAATACATGGATTAGGATAATCTGGAGTGTTGGATCCTGAACTGGAGAACAGTGGCGGAAGAATCAGGTCGTCCGTGTGCTCAGAGGCATGGCCTGTGGAAAGGCAAGACAACGAAGGCATGGCAAAGCAGAGAGAGGAGGAGAATCCGCTATATCCATCATCAACGGAGAGCTAGGAGCGTAGTTTAATGAGCCACATATAGGTTCATTTGGGGACCCAGATGACAGGAGAAGGTCACCCAGTGCAGCTCCCGACGTAGGATGAGAGGGTTTCTCAACTCCTTTAGGGTCCCTGACTTTTGTGGTTTTTTCTTCTGGAGATTTTTCACCAGGAGACAATTATCAGCATTTATGACAGGCATATGGCATGTTGGATGAATGGTAGCTGGCAGTAGAATTGCGGGGGTACTAGTCAGGGATTACGTCACCAGGAGGGATTTCCTAGTTTGCCTGAGGGCATTTGGTGTACAGTACTTGGTCTAGTGAGGTGGACGGCCAATGCCATAAGTTTTCCGAAAAACTGGCAAAATCCACCACCACCAAAAATTTTCTTCACACCTGCCCATGCACTGTGCCTTGATAAACTATGTGAGACACTTTAGGTCAACAAAGGCAGCTGCAACATCTGTTTTTTCAGGAAAAATAAAGCTTCACAGTTGTTTGCTGTGTTGGTTCTAGTTATCTGTTCCAAATCTTTACAAAATTACAAGTTTTTGTACTCCTGATATTTAATTTTATTAAATTTTAAGATCACTTTGCCTTGAAGAATATCTAGATGGTCATCTGATAATAGCACGTTTTTCTGAAAGCATTAGTCTGCATATGTACACTTGAAACTTCACAGTTTTATTACTGTATTTCATTACATATAAATAAAAACAACATATTTTTTGAAATTTTATTCTGCCAGACACTCCATAGCATTGCAGTGACTTATTTTCTTTCTGTATAAAATATAAACTTACCGGGTAGTTCCCAATGCTCTGTTTTTAGGCTTTTAAAGTATATTTTTTCTTTTAAATTTATGGATTCATTTTTTTTTGTCAGATTACCGATTAATTATTGAAAACATTGTCACTTTTCATCAAATAATAACTAAAGTAAGCAATGATTGAGTTTTTAATTTTGTTAATCTTGAGTCAGGTATAATTTCAAAACTTTTCCTGAGAAACATTGTATTCTAATTTATTCACTAACTTCCAGATGGGAGTGCTACAGCCCCACTTGTCACTCTTCCTATGGCATTGACATCTGCAGCATTTCAGCAGTCAGCAGCAGCTGCAGCAGCAGTAGTATCAGCTGCTTCAGCAGCAGCAGCAACAGCCAGCATCAATAACAGTAGTAGTAACAGCAGCAGTCAAGCTGCACCTACAGACCTCTCTATGCACATTAAGAGAGAGAAGTCTTAAGACTAGCAGTGGAATAGTTATGCTTGAGCTTGCCTGTGCCTTTATCATTTGTTATAGGTTATAAAGAAAAATCACAGCTAGCTCTTAGCTGATGTTTTCCCTCACTTTAAATCTAAAAAGTAACTTAATGATAGATTACTGTAGAGTTAGCAATAACAGAAAATGGGAATAATAACACTTTTCAACACAAAGAGTGTTGTTGTGTTTGACAAAGTGCTATATAGTGTTTCAAACACATGCTCTGTGATGTATGATAGTGAAGATTTAAAAATAAAAGATAACTTCTTTTATTTAATGAGTGTCTACAGTTAATTATAAATTAAGCTCTTTACACATTTGTAATAACAGATTTTTTAAGGACACGTTAAGTGTAGACAAAGACATCTGTAAATTAAATACGTTATAATGAAAATACCGGTAATGCCCATGACACACACTGTACTTTATATATACAGGTCGACCACCGATTTTCCGGCACCATCAGGGCAGGATTGATGCCAGACCAGCAATTTTGCTGAACCATGGGTGGTCACGGCCTTGGGGGAGCTACCACTCCCGTAACCTCCGACCCAATAGTTATTCACCTTACGTTAACTCTAAAAGCACTCTGGGCTGCTAGAAAATCAATGTCATAACATAAGAAATTATTTAAAAAAATTAAGTGAAAAACAGGTACTGTATAGGGTATATGAAGGTTTATTATTCACTTAAATAAACTGCTGCATTACTTCCGCTCCTAAAGTGATGAGTCGTAATGTAGAGGTGATTACAATTATATATCTGGAAGTGGGAGACTATTTGTATTATCTTCTTATTCAACCTGGGACATTACTGTACACTATTCCCTTCTTAATTCAACAAAGAAGGGGCTCTGGGTCACTTGAATTACCGAAAAATTCAAATTGACCGAGTTTGGAATATTTTGATATTCGACAATTTCCGAATTTTTGTGTTTGGTTATTTGTTTGTTTTCTTTTCTGTTCTGTTCTGTATTTGTGCCTTGCCTTGGCTGCCACATAAAATAATCTATTTATAATTATTGTGTAAACAAAAACTTTTTCTAAATGTACACACAGTAATAATAAAATAAATAATACAGTAATAAATAAATGTAACACTGCGAGGTGAGCTAACGATGAAAGGGGTGAGGTGACAAGGCAGGAGGTGAGGTGACGTAACAAGGCACTTAAACAGCAAACACATTAACAGCATTACTAAACCATTGTCTTATTCAGTAGGGTCAGGATATATCGAGAGATAGGGTCCAACGATATTCGCTATACACTACAGTTCAGTACAGTATACTAAATAGCAATATATAATTACATGTCATCAATGGGGAAAATAGGGTTAGGTTCTGGAGCCCAATAAAAGTGACTAAACTTGACTTAACGAGTTTATTTTCTTACTTTACTGTATGCACCGTCGGTCAGTAATATACTGTTTGATTTTGTCAGTGTTTATTGTCTCAATACAGAAGGCACCAATACCTGAAATGTACAGAACAGGAATTAACACACATAGGCTACACCATCTCACACATATACAGTACTAGTGCACACACTCCAATGACTATATGCTTGGAACAGTACACCTTCCCCTCCCTTTTATTCATGATGACAGTTCTGTATTGCCGTTCTCTTTAGTTCCATGAACGGCCGGGTTTATATTCATCGCTTGTCTCTCCATCCATTTCGGAGTCATCAACTTCATCCGTTCCAGAACTTTCACTTCCATCCGTTCCGAAGTCTTCAGCTCCATCCTGGTATTTCTTCGGTTTTACTATAGTACGACGTGGTCGCCTAGCAGCGAGTGGTTCCTCCTCGCTGTTCCCGTCCTGCCTGGACTCGTCCATCCCTGTCTTCGGCGTGTTGGCGGCTTGGTTGTTTTCCCGGTTTCGATGAGTGTTGTCGGTTCTCTCGGCCGTTTTGTGGCTTCCGTCTGTGTCACTGTCTCCTCTGCCGTCATTTCCTCCCTGGCATCTCCCTGGAACTCTTCTCATCTGGGATGTGCTGCGTAATATCTTCTTGGGTCCTCGCTGTAGAATAGCTGAATCGCCTCGCCTTTCACTTACCGTCCATGGTTTACGATCATAATTAGTTGAGAGCTTGTCTTTCTTGGTTTGCTTCAGGAGCACTTGATCAGTTGGTCTCAATTCCGCTAGTTTGGACTTATTCCGGTTGTCTGTCCGGAGTTTCAGTTTCTCCTTTTCTCTTTTATCTCTCTTGCGTGCCACATCCCAACATGTCACTTGTGTGTCTTCCAAGTCATGACTCACTTGGGGGAGTTTCACCTTGATGTTCCTTCCCATGAGGAGTTTGGCTGGCGTCTCTCCCGTCATCGAGTGTGGGGTGTCCTTGTAGTGCATCAAGAATTTACCGAGTTGCCGTCTCCAATCTTTCCCCTCAGTATGCATCGCTCGGAAAGCTTTCAACATGGTCGCAAAGAACCGCTCGATTTTCCCATTTGCTTGGGGATGATATGGTGTCACTTTGTGGTGTTTTATTCCCCATTCTTCACAGAACTGTGCAAACTCCTTGGCTCTGAACTGTGGTCCGTTATCTGACACGATGACCGTTGGGATGCTGTGTGTAGTGATGCATCCTTCGATCAGGGTCATAACGGTGTCGGTGTTGATAGTTTTGATCACAAAGGCTTCTGGCCACCGGGATCCTGCATCGATGATTCCCAGCACATAGTCACCACTAGGGAATGGTCCACATATGTCCACGTGGATTACCTCCCACGGCCCCTTCATCTCAGACATATTCACCGGATTGGCTTGTTTTCTTGTGTCGAGGCTTGCACCTGGGATGCATTGTCTGATTGCCTTCTCCATGTCCTTGTTGATAGTTGGCCACCATACCTTGCCTCGGAGTAGCGCCTTGGTCTTGACCATTCCCAGGTGTGTCTCATGTGCGAGTTGCATCGTGCGTCGTTGTTGTGTTTGGGGCATTACGATCCGGGATCCCCTCAACACGAGTCCCCGTTTTTATGTCAGTTCTGCACGTACGTGTTTGAAAGGCTCCGTTAGTTTATCCGTCCAGTCATTCTTGGCGATGGCGTCTTCGAGAGCTCTTATAGTCGGATCCTTCCCTGATTCTTCGAGAATTTCAGACAGTGTCATAGCTTTCGGGATCCTGTTGGCAACCACATAGTTGATGAATCCCTCTGCCAGTTTCTCTTCTTCAGAGATTTGAGCATCGAATGGCAGGGGTTGTCTAGACAGTATGTCTGCCGGATTGTCACTTCCTTTGATGTGTTGGACTGTGAAGTTGTACTGTTGCATGCGTAGGATCCACATGAGTATACGGGCTGATGGTTTGCCTTTCGGGCTGAAGATGGTCGTTAGCGCTTTGTGATCGGTCATGATGGTGAATTCTTTCCCGTAAAGATATAGATGAAATTTTTCACATGCCCAAACTATGGCTAAGGCTTCTCTCTCCAGCTGACGATACCGTCTTTCCACCTGAGTCAGTGTTCGGGAGGCATAACTGATGAGTTTGAGTACCCCTTGGTGGTTTTGGCATAGCATTGCCTCTAGTCCTACCGGACTAGCATCCACAATTAGTGTGGTTGGTAGCTGAGGGTTGAAGTGCATGAGTACCTCTCTCTTCATGACGGCGTTCTTCAGCTTGTTGAAGCACCACTCTTCTTTTTCTGTCCAGGTCCACTTGCTGTTCATTCTCGACAGGTTTTTCATAGGTTCGCTCAATGTCACTAATCGTGGTATGAACCTGGTCAGGTAGTTGATCAGACCTAGGAAGCTACGGACTTCCTGAACCGTTTCTGGCCGTCTGAACCTCTTCACGGCTTCGATTTTTTCATCTGTCGGTTTGATGCCCTCTTTGGATACAGTGAATCCATGGAATTCAACTTCATCTATGTGGAACCCGCTTTTGTGTTGGGAGATGGTCAGGTTGTTCTCCTTCAACTTTTGCAGTACTTTTTCCAGAGCACTGTTGTGTTCACTCGTATCCTTGCCCCAGACCAGGATGTCATCCGCTCCATTCCGACAATTCGGACACTTTTGCAAAATCTGTTGTGGCAGACGTTGTCCTTGTTCTGCAGCTGATGCAATGCCCATGACTAACACCTTGTACCTGTAGATACCGGAGTCGCGTGAGAATGTTGTTATGTCTCTCGATTCGGGGGTTAGCTCGATCTGATGATAGTGTGAGTTTAGGTCGATTTTTGAGAATTTCGTGGCCCCGTTAATTTTGCTGAGTAGTTGTTCCACGGTTGGTATAGGATGGCGCATGCGTTTCACCACTTTGTTTGCTATGCGGAGGTCTGCGCATATCCTGATATCTCCATCTGGTTTTGGAGCAGTCACCAATGGGGACACCCATGGTGTAGGGCCTTCCACGCTCTCGATGATATCATTATCTAGCATTTCTTGTATCTTCTGTTCGACTGCACCTCGAATGTGAAATGGCACTCTCCGAGGTGGCTGTGCGACGGGTTTGACATTTGGGTCGATGTCGAGCTTGAGTTGGAAGTTTTTCATTCTCCCCAGTCCATTCAGCGCTGGTAGATGTTGTTCCACTATCCTCCGGGTTGATGAAGGCATCTCACTGGTCGTAATCAGGTTATTCTGGTGGATACTGAGAAGGCCACGATCTAAGCTGGCTCGCTTCCTCAGAATATTCCCTCCCTGTTTCGCTGTTGTTACCAGGATTTTGTGTGCGACTCTCTTCGATCCATTTGACAGTGTTGCATAGAACTCTCCTCGGAGTGGGATGGGAATGTTTCCATACGATTTAGGTAGGATATTCGTTTCCTTGAGTACTATGTTCGGTCGTATTTTGATGATGTAGTCGAATGTGCCCCCATCAATTAGATTGACGTTTGCCCCTGAGTCAATCAACATTCCTACCGGTACGTCTTCTATCATCACCTTTTCCTCTGCAGTGTCATCTGATGTCACTCTGAACACGTAGGTATGGCTATCGTCAGATTCATTTGTGCTCTTGGACGACACCTGGTGTACGTGATTGTCGTCGTTACCTGTCGAACTGTCCTCCGTCAGTTGTCTGACCCTCTCTTGTCGGTTATGTTTTTTCTTGCACGCAGTGGCAAAGTGGTTGACGATTCCACAGTAGTTGCAATTTTTTCCAAATGCAGGACATTGTCTCTGTCCATGTCGATGGCCAGTGCCATTACACCCGAGACAGTTCAATTTTGTGTCACGTGGCATATCCTTACTTTGTTGTCTTCGATTGCTTTCCCAGTCCCGCTGCTGTTGTTGTTTGTATCTTGTGTTTACCTTGTTCACATTGGTGCCTTCTTCATCTTGTTCCATCTGGCAAGCTTGGGCTTCAGTTGATTCATAAGTGTAAGCAATTTGTAGAGCTTTCTGTACTGTTATGTCTGTCTCCTTCAGGTATGCACGACACATCTTATGTGAAGTACATTTCTCCGTCAACTGGTTGATGATGGCTTGGTCAAGATTGTAGTTGTCGAAGTTGCACTTGGCCCTTTGTGTACGTAGGCGGGTTACGTAGTTGTGTGTACTTTCCCCGACCTCCTGCGCCAGCATCCGGAACTTGTGTCGTTCAAATACTTCGTTTGTTTTATCACCGAAGTATTCATCAAGTGCCATTCTCATTGTTTTGTACGTTGGTTCTTTTTTGTCTGTCGGTATCGCTGGACGCAATGTCTTCATGATTTCCTTCAGTTTCTTAACTCCATAGAATCTGATGAGTGCTAGTCTTTTGGCATCTTCAGTTATGTTGAATGCAATGAAGGCATCTTCAGCGTGCTCTATCCAGTCAGTCCATGCTTGTGTTTGGTCAGTCTCCTCTAGCTCTAGAGGTTATAGTGTTGTGAATAGATGTATGTGCTTGATCCTCTTCGCCAATTTACTGTATGCACCATCGGTCAGTAATATACTGTTTGATTTTGTCGGTGTTTATTGTCTCAATACAGAAGGCACCAATACCTGAAATGTACAGAACAGTAATTAACACATATACTAGTACACACACTCCAATGACTATACACTTGGAACAGTACACTTACTAACTAAAGCACCAATGAACATCAGACTCGGCAGTAGACGCCCCACTGCCACCCTCACTTGACAATCCAACGCCTACATAAACGAACAAACCAAAAATATTAGTTACAGTATTAAGTCTTTACACTCGCCTTGGAAGTTGTAATCTGCAGCAGAGTCGGCTGCTTACTTGTCACTCACTCAGAAAGACTGAGCGGGCGAGCGTGAATGCGTGGATGAGGAGCCACGGTGGCGCCTCTGGTGAGCAAATAATGCATTTGTTTGCCATGGCGGTAATTTTGAAGTATTTCCTGCCCGTTTCCCTCACAAAATAGATAAATTTATCGCTATACAGTACTGTATATAGGAAAATGTCGATAATTTTGGTAGTCGCGATATAAAAAAATCTTTATAAAAAGTCACGTGACATGATATCTCGATTTGGCTAATTTTGCACTTAGATAGTTGATAGTGAAAAAACCAGGGCATATGGAGATGCATTATAATATTTATTATGTTCTGATAAATACCGTATATACTCGTGTATAGTTCGAGTTTTTAAGACCAAATTTTTAGGCAAAAAATTGGGGGTCGTCCTATACATGCGTAATAGTTTTGTTAGGTTGAACCCGTGCATGATGGGAAGGGCGAGGAGCAACTTTTAGCTTCAGACATGAAAAATATTTACCATTTACTGCCAGTAAACAATGGAAACGTAAAATATGTACCAATTAGTAATGAAAAGTTGTGCAGTTCCTTCAGTAAATGAAGCTCACCAACTTACAATAGGCTAAATTACCTTACAACGTGTTTTCAGTAGTCTATGTTGAAGTTCTTAGCACAGGCTAACTTATCATATCATATACGGTATCACAGTTCTCATTGATCTACAAAAAATACCGGTAATAAAAACCTTTTCTATAATTCACACTTAATATAATACCCGGTAATCTACTTCAACCTCCTATTGTTTACAACGACGCTTGACGCACCACCAGCTGTTGAGTATCAGCTAGACGGTACACGTGTTTTTCGAATCGTTTTCAGTAAAAAAACTGTTACATCACATGTATATTTTACCTAAACTGCGCCTGAATGAATATATTCTCGGAAATAAATAGTAGTTTTGCTGAAACATGATGTATATTTTAATGTAAAATAGGATAAAATACATGACGAAAACAAAAGATTTTACCGAGCCTTCCGATGTTCAAGAGAAGTTACTCGTTTTTTTAATAGTTTTTGGTTAAAATATTGTTATATTACAATGGTATTCTATTCATACTGTGCTTGATATAATGCATTCACGGAAATGTAATATTTTTGCTGAAATGACGTACATATTACAGTGGAAAGTGGGATAAAATCGTGACGAAAACAATGACTTTCGCTTTCGTTCGTTCAAAAGATGTTACCGTAATCGCTTTTCGAATGGTTTTTAGTTAAAAAACTGTTGTATTACAATAATATTCTATCCTAATTGACTTGAATAAATACTACGATACCATATTTCGGAATATTTTCATTAAAATCCATCAAAATCATTTTCCTTGTCATCGTCTGCAGCACCAAACAGCTTCTCCCAGTCCTCTCCTTGATCAAGGCTAGAGGGTACGTGTTTTTCGAATCGTTTTCAGTTAAAAACTATTACATCACATGTATATTTTACCTAAACTGCGCCTGAATGAATATATTCTCGGAAATAAATAGTAGTTTTGCTGAAACGTGATGTATTTCAATGTAAAATAGGATAAAATACATGACGAAAACAAAAGACTTTACCTAAGTTTCCGATGTGCTTGAGATGTTACTCGTTTTTTTAATAGTTTTCGGTTAAAATTCTGTTATATTACAATGATATTCTATTCATACTGTGCTTGATATAATGCATTCACGGAAATGTAATATTTTTGCTGAAATTACATACGTATTACAGTGGAAAGTGGGATAAAATC